GAAAGCTCCTATGGAAAGACACAAACCTGAGCCTACATTGTAAAACTCAACTCGTCAACCTGGCAAAAGCAAATGAAAGCAGCGAACCGGTCTCATGCGGAGACCAGCAAAACGTAGGGCGGCAGTCCCAAGAAAGGGAGTGTGCCGCATCACGTAATCACGCAACCGCAGTACTGTACTGATGACATGGCGAGTTACGCCCAACTCAAGGCGCAAGAGTATACGCGCGAAAACGATAAAGGCGCATGAAGTCGACAAGCTAAAGGAATAAGCGTACTCCCTATATTTACCCACCATTCATGCAAACCATGCTGCAATACGCATGAACTCTTAACATAAGAAGCTGAACGGAACACGGATACATGCTTGCAAAGCAAGATTCAATACTCAATTAGGGAGGCCCTTCACGTGCTCACTGTATGCTAAGCAGGGGCAGCATTGACAATACCCACTTGCTGCAAATACATCGAATTTATGGCCTCTACCTGACGAGCATTTGTCCTCGTCCCTCGCCACCCGACGCCTCATCCCCCTGTGTGTCCCCACTGGCGAGCTCGACCGTAGGCGAAGCCACTACTAGCCACTTTGTATCTACTTGTAGCAAACGAAAGCGTCGGGTTCGCAATCGGCAGCACAACGTAAGACCCAATAAGCTGCGGTCATTGGCGTCCATTCCCATTCGTTGGGCCGCCTGCCGGCGAACCTTATTCATCCCTGAATCGCTACGGCTTACTTCGCATGCACCTTCATCATCAGACGAAAGTCGGCGCAGGCGGGCTCCACGATGTTGGGAATTCTTTAGCACTATGAAGCAGTGCATAACAAGGAAGGCCACTGCAAGTGTGGCGGCTAGCGCAGACGTCGCCAGGAGCACTCGAGCACCCCTAGAGCGTCTACGTAAAATTGCTTCTTGTTTCTGCTGGCCCATAGGAACATCAACTGAAACCTGTGAGGCGGTTTGAGGCTCATATCCCAAGGAACCCAGCGCCGGCGTCGGGCCGCTCGCAGCTGCAGTCACAGCCGCAAGGCTGGCGAAAAAGACAAAGGAAGCGAGGGAACGAACCATTTTCGTCTGAAAACGTTAAACTTGCCGAAGTTTCAAAAATCAAGGAGAAAAACAATTCAAACGCTCTGAACCTCTCCAGTGCTGATTTGGAGACGCCGTCTGAGAGCCAGCCCCGGTCGGCTTCGTGTGCGCAGTGGACAAGAAGCATGGGGTTCTGGTTCTTTTTAGGGAAAAAATTGATGGGTTCGGACTTCGAATCAATGTTTCAAAAACCATTATAGAGTCAGCCATGGGCTTATTACAGCTACATCAGAAAATTCTCCATAATTCTCCCTTTTCTGAAGTTACTGCGGACTGTTACTGAATGCCTCCAAACTGGGCCAATCTCTGCTCCCTTGCCACATTTGCCAGTTGTAAGTGGAAGGAAAGAGCATTAGCTAGTTTCACTGTGCCATTTATTAACTTATTTTTTTTCTGTGGAAAATTTACCGCCTGACCGCTGCATCGCTTTGGTCTTCTCCCAGTGCGACTGTGGGGACACTGTGGCTCGCCACCTTGCAGGCACCACACTTACCCCTCCAGAGCCGCTCAGGGCTTTTCCCTTCTTATGCTGATATTTTCTGCTATTTTACATATACTTTTTAAGGGTCAAATGGGTTATTATACCATACTGCAGGAACGCACAGTTGTAGCTCACACTGACGCGAGCTGGGATTCCACGCTGCAACAACGGAGAACACTGCGTGGAGCACACGATAACGCAACACCGTAATAGGGCAAGTCATTTTCTGCACAAAGGCACGATATTGCGCTCCAATTATGAAAAAAATATTTGCTGCAACAGCCCAGCGCTCCTAGAAGAGGTGCACGGAGATGACTGCTGCACCTTCGCTTGCACTGATGTACTACACACCCTTGCGCATTTCAGCTGGTGTCACAGCCTCAGATTAAAAGGATTCTGGTCTGCTGAAAAGCAGAGCTCGCCTGATGCCTCAACATGGATAAAAAAGGTCATGTGCAAGTAGTGTTGGCTTCAGCTGATAATCCCTCAGCTGGTGCAGTTGTTCCTACCTTGTGGAGACTTTGCCAATTCTTCGTTAGTATTGAAATTTTCTTTGTAAAAGGCATACTGTGGTGGCAGTTCGAACCTATGTGAGGATGCTACCTCGGTATCCTCTCCCCTACAGTCTTAGGAAAGGTGGATGCCGAACAAGCACCCACAGCAAGTGCCCACGAGAAATCACACGATCAAGAAACTTCAGCATAATCAGTTGCCTTGAGAGGCTTGAAGGCTAAAACGCCAGCGATTGCAACAGCTTTTTGTTTCAAACAGCTCGTTTGAAACAATTGATAGGAGAGAGGCCAGTGTATTTGGCCTCATGCTCCCTTTGTAACGCCTGAGCTCTGCGGAGTTGGCACTCTCGACCTCAGGTTTGTCCTAAAACACCTAAACTGAGCAGAATGCCTCGATGGGAGAAGCTCGTAATTCTACAGAAGTGCCAGGCCCTCCTCCCAAGGTGTTACAGGTCACATGATCGGGGCCCATGAACAGTTAAACGTTCTGGTGGGGTAAAAGACTAATATTTGACTTAGTTATTTTTAATTTTTAACATTTCTTGTAAAGAAAAAGAAAAATTGATTGAGAAATCTATGAGTGGTGCAGCATGCTGTCGCAGCACTTGCCGCTGTACGCAAACAAATCAAAGATTTCCACTGGGAGAATCAATTTTCTTTCTCAGGCTGCGGTAGCGGACCAACCAGCTGTGCCAGACGCTCGTCAGTTGGATGATTCCGGTGTCGGATGTGGGAAAGTGATGGTTCTCGTCAGTAGCAAACATATGTGAAGGCACTAAACTTAGATACAGTGAGAACAAGAAACTTTTGTCAAGCACCAAATATACGTGAAAGCAATAAACTCAGCTAGACATACTGACGGCAAGAAATAGGTAACCAAAGCTAAAGAAACGTAAGTCAACGACTGTCATTGACACTGTACCGCTCTTTCGGGGAAATCGCGGTGAAGCGTTTCATGTCGTTGTCGCTCACAGTTTCTGTACGTACATATTCCACGTATTGCAGCGCGATGTAGCGGTGCATTTGCTGCATGAGCTCAGGTTTTCACCGCTGCACGTGAAGTGTAGGGGAATTCTGCGTCTCCGTGGAAAGATATACCTGCGTGCTCCTACGCGCAAAATGTACATTAACTCTCATTGACAGTTACTCTGTTCAAAGGAGCAAGAGACGCTGCAACAGCGGCACGCCCTGCCGCTAGTAGAATTTCATCTGTGGGCGCTGACGCTAGCAACATCTCGTGCGTGGCTGGTAGTAATGGCCCCATCACTTTACTGTGCAGACCACGGCGTTATATCTGGGAGTACCTCTGTATCTCACCCGTGGCTGTTAGTAGTGGCCCCATCACTTTGCTGTGGAGGCCGCCGGGTTGTATCTGGAAGTACCTCTGTGATGCCGTGCAGGTTTGTCAAGGGAAAAAACCTCTGGCACAGCTTTTGTACATGCCCCAACAGTGAATACACAAAATTAGACGTGGTTTTTGTGCCCGCAGACTTACGCATGAAGGCAGGTTATCACAGTTTCCAGGTGTATCTATAAAAAGCTAGTTACGCGAGTGGCTGCTTACTGCTACGCCGCAAGCCCGCTCTTCCGGGCTATTGCTCGCACTCCTCTCAAGCGCATGCTGCAGAGACAGACACTGAATACCTTCGACGGAGCGAATCCCCGAGTCAGACCGCAGAAACCAGATTCGTGTGTCACCGCACCCGTCAGAAGCAAGCCACGCCTGCCGCGCTGGGAAACGCTCTACGCGTACTCGCCAGCCCGTCCCCGTCCCGCCTGAGGACTACGAATGAAACTGAACGCCCTCCAGACATAAGGTCCAAAGAGTGCAATTGGCCCTCTCGGTGCAATGCTGTGCTGCGCGTTTACTAGAGTACAACAGCAGACAATGCTGTGAAAGGCTGTAGTTGTGCAAAGGCGGCCGTCTCCTCAAACATGACAACGCAGTATCTCAAGTACGGCATTTGAGCACTGTCATTATTATCGACCCTCCGTCCAGCAGCAGTGGGCCAGTTCGCCGATGTGCACCGGACGGAGCCGCAGCTGCCATAACTCTTAAGGCTTCGAATATTAAAGTGGCTAGAAATGAAAATTTGCGTTTATTATGGCACAACGAAGAGTTTCCAGTCCATGGAGCAGTGCATCCTCGACTAGGCTTCGCTCAGCTAGGCATGCGAACATGTCAGTCAAAAAGGGGACGTGTCTGGTGGTTTGCTGCTCATTAAAAGAGGAACGTTTCACACGTATGTTAAATTGGATCAATCGAATCAAATTTTGTGAGAGATTCAGGCGCTGCCTATCTGCCGGGCCGCCGCTCAAAGAGTGGCGGTAAGTACAGCAGCTGCTATTTGCATGCTGCTGCGACCACACCAGCACGGCTTCCTTTGAGGGGCTAAATTAGAATGCATTTCTTCGGAACTCTTGAAGTAAGTGCGCAAAACATTCAGAGAAATATTCAGCACATTTCTATTTCAGGCAGGCGGTGCCCTTCTAACTCTGGAGGTGCGCTGGCGGAAGCACCAGTATTATCCCACAGGGCTTTGTTTAACTCTTTGGGCGCGGGCCGCCGTCGCTAAGTCCTCAGATGTTCAGAATTACTGCAGGCTTTGTGCGGAGGTTCCCACCAGAGCCACAAGGTGTAAGTGTGCAGGTGTGACTGTCTTCCTATATTCGCCAATCAACTTTTCGCGCAATAGACTGAAGTTTCGCCTTCTACGCAACTGAAACGGTCCCCTTACGTTCAGATTTATGCTAAAGAAAAGCTGAAGGGTCTTTTCGCACGTTCCAAAAGCTTTGCTGCACATGCAGATTTCAGCTGCAGCTTGCAGCAACTGCGGGCGTGCAGAAAAGTGGAAAGCGGTGGCCTTTGGCTCTGAAATAAACATCGTTTCGTTTACAACTATCCTATAAACAGAGTGAAATGGGCAATCCGCGGCATCTTCGCCGGGCGTCTTCACAGGACGAAGACGAGGGCGATGTGTTTGATGACAAGTCGGAGAGTGAGACACTGCGCCCACTGGATGCGTGTCCATTCTGAAGTGTAAACCCAAACGTAATCATAAACCACATCCTGATCTAAAGCCCTAAGTTGAGGCCTTGGAGTGCACATGCAGATTCAGAACCCAGGTGTTGTTTGCTGCGCCGGGGCCATCCCTTTTCACGGCCCGTGTTTCTCGCTCCCGCCCAAACAGCTACCGCCACCCATATTTGTTTCAAAGGTGCGCATTCTTGCGTGTTTCTGTTTGTTTCCCGACGTGCGTTTGCATGCATCCTTAGTAAGCTCGGGGAGCGATGAAGAGGCAGAAGAGGCAACTCGTGACGCAGCCGCGACGGGCGGCGACTCGGTTGGCTCCGCCTCAGCAGTTCAAGCCACGACTTCGGCCTCTCCGTCTTCCGCAGGGGCTGCTGAGGCGTCGCGTGCGGCTTCGAGCGACCCCAAGGCCTCTAAGGAGTCTCCAAAGACCCCCGAAAATGAACAAACTGCAGGAAATGAAGCGGCGAGGGACGAGGGCAAACACCGCAGAAGTGCATCTTCTGGGGACGGATTCAGAGCGCGCCCAAAGTCAACATGGCAGGTGAGCTCCCCTGCTTCCTTTGCTTCCATTTCGGGGTACAAAAAGCTTAGGTTAGTGGGAGGGGCGGTGGATGGGTTTGACTATATTGGAGAGGGATATGAGTGCATTGGGTCAAGTGCGTACTTGCATGCATTTTGACGCGGTTTCGGGTGCCTTGGGTCCCTTGGCCAATATAGCTAAGTGAAGCCCTCGTGCTCTGGCTCTTCTGCTTGTGGGCTTCATTCAAGCCTCGGTCTCTCTTAAAGAATGTGGTCTTCGAGTCCACCAAATGCGTTTGTGTTCATGAAGTCCAAAAAGCATGCAGAGGATGCTGAATTTGCGTTCAGCTCATGCAAGAAGACCCCTCCTACGTGCCAAGAGCCACGCGGTACTTTCTGCACGATGACAGGCGAGATGACGACAGCAGCAAATCAGAGGCCTCCGATGAGCACTCCGAAAGCCAACCGGATACGAGAATACCTCGCAGCACTCAGACGCGGTGGGTATCCTTCTTTTGTGCAGGGATATTAGCACATTGGCTACCCTTTCACGTCAGATTTGGCCGTTAAAACAACTAATAGAACGAGGGAATACATGGGGGAACTATGCGCGTTTGTTTTAGCCGATAAAACAAGTAGTAAAATGAGGAAATGCATGGGGAAACTATGCGCAACATGCAAGTGACAGAATGAGAGGGGAACGCAATTCAAAATGAGATGCATTTCTGACTTGCTGTGAATCCACTCCTGTATTGTGGACGCCCTGCAGGGTAGGCTCCAGCAAGAAGCTCTGGACCCCAGACGAGAACGAAGGCGAGTGGAAACACGACATGTGGGAGCAACTGCAGAAAGAGGAGGCAGGAGAAAGGCCGAATTTCAGTAATTGGAACAGAGGACGGCGACCCGGTAGGTACCTTGAAGCGGTTAGTGTTTGAATCTATCTATGTATGCCTGCGGTCATGAATATGCTAAAGGCTTGCGTTTGGTCGTGGGGGACAAGAAGAATCAAGCCCAACGCCGTAGCCATCTGCATTCTTTCTTTGCTCCCTCCGCCGCCTCTGCGCTAGCTGCTAATATGTACTTGACTAGTGCCTAGAGGAAAGCAGTGCACTCCTGCAGCGCTTTGCGCGCATCGCTAGAGTGGAAGTGAATATGTTTTTTGTCATCATATTTCTATTGAGGAAGTTTAGACATGCATGTCGTCCGCGACAGCATAAAGCTGAGGCTAGAAGAAATAGAACCTGAACACCTATCGTTGCTCTTTTTTCTTGGTTTTCAAATTTGGTGTTTTGGGCTGTTTATTGGCTGCAGGACGGCGCGGGGGCTCTTTCGGATACAGACGTGGAGGCCAAGTGGACTCTTGGGTTCCTCGCGGTTCTCGTGGCGGCAGGCAAGGGATGCATGCATTTGGTTACATCGTGCTATTGCTTGTTCCCTTCATTTGGGACGTGGTGTCTCGCCACCGCTCTCTGGCCAAACGCGCAGAGCATTTCTTTATCGCGATTTTTGACGTTCATAGATGCCACATTGATATTGCTGTATACCGTATTCATGTTCATCTGTCATGCATTCATATATCCTTTTGTCGCAAGGCTTTATATTTAGTGCTCCATTGAACAATCTTTGCTGTGTGATGACTATGTGCAGAACTGGAGGAAACGGCAGCTACAGAAATGAGCCTTGTGAGCACAACGTAGCACGCGAACTATTGGAGGTTTGCACAAGACAAAGTAGACGACGTTGCTTAAAGCTAGATTATGAGATTGTGAAGATCGGGCAGTAATGAGGCAGGGTTCTCTGTGAGGTCTCCTCGTCTGAGGTCGCACTTGTATTCGTTGGCATGTATGTAACTGAATGTATATTCTTAATTTCGTTGCTTCGAAATGCAGGGAGGGGAGAGTGGCGCCCGAGAGGCCGCAGTAGGGCGCAGGATTGGAGCAGCGAACGGCAGAAACAATACGTGCCGAGACAAAGCGCAGAGGCGGCATAAGGAGAGTTTAAAGTCTACATGAGGGTTAGGGACCTTTCTCAGTATTTTGAATACCAAAGCGGACATGCACTTGAGCTATAGCAGCAGTGGGTCGGCAGAAAGCGGCGGACTAAGAAGAAGCCCATTGCACTGCCAAGCGCCTATGAGAACACCGCACGTGGACTTAAAAGCGTCTTCGTGATCACTCAAGGATACTGCAGTGGCTCTATCTTAGCGAGCGGCACGTGTGTGTACGCGTGAATTTGTATAAACGTCTAAATCCTACATATGTATGGCACAGAACCAGTTCGGCGGAGGCGGGGAAAGCCAAAGCAATACTTGTTTCTGCTTGATGATTGCTGTTGCTTTTTCTGTTTTCTACTTTAAAGTTCTTTAAATGCTGTGACTCTGAGGCGTGGGGCGCTAGAAAGGCCCTTAGCCAGCAGCCTGCTGCTGTGTTAGAGGGTCAAGGGCTGCCCGTAGCCACCAGCAGCCCCACTCCCGTAGTTGACTACCCGTGCAGGTAGTTTGTTAGTGGGTTCTTTTGTGTCCGTGCCAGGTGGCTAGCGCCATTCAGGGGTGCACGTAAGGCGTGCGCGTTGTACAGAGCAACCGAATTTCTGCGGGCGGCGTAGCTGCGGAGGCAGCAGCACGCGGGTGCAAGGCTCTTTGAGAATGTAGTTTGCACAGGGTACAAAGGGTGTGGTACAGAGCATAGCTTGTACAGGGCAGGGTTGTGCGTGTAAAGAACACAAGTCACGTAAACAGCGCAGCGCCCGCAGCCCCGGCTTTGGACGTGTTGTGCTTTGAACGGTGAGGTGAACGCTGTTCAATCTCTTTTATGTTTCGTCTGTAGCCTACTGTTCTGGTCCCGACTTTCAGCGGAAGTGACCGAGGTTTTCCGCGGTCGGCTCCGCTACACGTAGTGTCTGCAACAGTGACAATGTACTCTTTGTATCACCGAAAAGCAAAATGAGGCCTCCTGCAGCTCTTACCCCATTCTCAAACGCAGAACCTTGAGCACTACGTCAGCAAACTCGTAACTATAAACTATGGAACTCTTAACAACGAAAGCCCTAGCGTGGCCAGCCAAAAGTACCAGTGTATGCATAAAGGACAGCGCGAGCCAATGAAGCACGGTAGAAGTATTCTCTTGACAAGCTTGCTAGTTCGCTAGCTGGCCAGCTAAACAGCCAGTTGCGTGGCTAGCTCACTATGCAGCGTTGCTGGTGAGTAGTTCGTGGGCCGCTTTGGGCCAGTTAAGGGAGCAGCGAGCCTTTTTTTGTGCACCGTTATGTAGGCTGTGGCTTGCTGCTTGCAGTCACACCACCAACGTTCACGAACGTAAGACGGAGATCAACTCGCTGTTGCTGCTTGCACTACGGCTGACGAACGAAGCGAGAACTATATTTCCTGGCCTCTGCAAGTTTGCAGTCGAGCAGATGAGCCATAACGGCGGGGGTAGGCTTGCTGTTCGCGCCCACTGCAGCAGCTGCAGGAAGAGCAGTAGCTGCAGGATGACGTATTATACCTGTTGGCTTGTTTCTAATCTCTCCCAAGCAAAGGATCGATGTGACACCGTCAGGCCTCCTCCGCGTCTGGTTTTTTGCGTATCCATCCAGCAGCAATCGAGAGGTCAAGTGGGCAGACTTCAAGTGCTTCAGCCACGGCTCTTCTTCCTGCTGCTTGGGAGGCCAGCCGCTGCTGCCTCTCCTCCATTCTAGACAGGAGGGAGTGGAGATTTGGCACGCGCTGCTTCCACAGACGTTTCAGCAGAGTCGGTAAACAAGAAGGAGCTATGCAGAGGGAAACGTCAGTTACGTCCTTGCTCTGAATGCAGAGGCAAAAGATTTGTGGTTTTGGGTCTGGGGCTGTGCGTTCATGGTCCATGGTCCAGTGTGTAAGCTGCACACTTAAGGGTTCACAACAGCTGCTCGTTTACCTCGACTGATGTCAAACAACAGGAGAACAAATGGCGGACTTCGTCGCAGTTGACCACATCGAATAGAACTGAAAGCGACAGTGAAACAACAAAAGTAACTGTAAAATGAAAAGCATTTGCCATTCTGTTTAGTTAGGCGCCGAGCACATTCCGCCCATACTTTCCTTTACTGTGTTTCCCACTGCACGAAATGGAAATGACGCAACGGCGCATGGCCTCGGAAGGGCTGCTATTGCTGCGTGTTGCACGTGTCTACTAGTTTTTGTTCACTGTTCAGCTGCATATTCAGGCAGGACCATTCTGCTGGTTGATTCTCCTAGTGCTTCTGGTTGATTCTCTTAGTGCTGATTTTCCTGGTGAATTGACTTTTTCTCTACTTATTATTCGAGTCATTCAGTGCATAGCTTACTATCGTCAGCAATGACAAAAAAGTCGCCTTCCTGCACAAATACTTCCTGCTCAACTATTCCTCGGTGGCTCCAATTTGTTCCTTGGTCAGCCCACTCGACAATGCGCATTAGACCCTGTCTGCATTGGTTTACAACACAAACTGGAAACCCTAAATCATACACCTCAGGGCCCATCCAACTGTGCTGTAGGTCTGCGTATTCAACAACGAGCACTATCTATTATATGAAGCGGCATTTAGAAGCACACGCAGCAAAGCGTGTTCACGTAAACTAATTCTGAATATCAACTGCTCACTCCAAAACGATGAAGCCTTAACCCCCAAACCCTGAAATGTTCAAAATTTTTCATTTAGGAGCATGTGAGGTCTACTTCTCTTGCAGGTTCTGTTTAATATAGACATATAATCATCGCAGTGACTGTTCGCAGCTTACCTGAACGCCCCCGGATCAATCTTATCTTCTACTTTTTGTGCCTCCCGAGTTCTGTGGCTTTTGTTTTCAGTACGATGTCCCTGCTGCTCGAGTATCTGCTGCCGTGAGGGCCACTTGAAGATCTGCGTCTCGGCAGCAATCGCTGCGTTGCGCATTGGTGCTTCCGCGACCCTCGACAAAATGCCCGACGCCGGAGAGCGCCGCAAGACGAAGAGGCGCATGTAGCCACTTGTCGCGAAACGAAGTCGTTCACCTTCATGTACGGACCAAATATTTGGAAAATTACGGGATACAAAGGCATACCACGAATATGAAGTTGAAGGCAGACATACAAATGAACACAAAGTTCGAACAAGCAAAAACAACAGGAAGTAAGACCCAGGGAAAAATTAAGTTTGGCGAATAATCACGATAGAAAGGAAATAGAACAGCTCAGGACAACGATGGAATCTGGCCTCAATCATAAATAGAAATATGAAATGTACACGTACAGATATACATGCCAAGACCTCGAGTGCAAGTAAAACTGAAGACGGTGGAACAAACTCTACAAAGAGCAGCTTGAGAGTGCGCGAGGAAATCTTATGTGTGAGTATTTGCTTTTAAGAAAATAGAAACACAAGTGAACGCAGGTACGAATACAAGCGGAGATCTAGTCTCGTGCACAGTCACAAATTGTTTCCATGACTACGGCCACAGAAACAAAGCAGCCGGAGCCATGCGCTCTAACTCCAAACACCGATGGGCAGAGCAGCGGCAGCACAACGGGCGCAAATAAGCAATTATAGGCAGCACGGGACTCTGACCAGCCTTGATACTTCAAGCGAGCAATGCTAAACGCAACAGCTTCATGCAGGGTGGAGCGAAACCTGCGTTTTTAGTGTCGAATAACGCCTATAATCACACACTGGATAAACTTCAGTGGCAAACCATTTCATGCTAAATAAAGAGCACGAAAACGTGTCTAAACTAGCACCGCATTTCTGACCTGCATCGTCAAGCCACAGTAAACCGATGCTGCAGGCGCCGAATTCTTGAGTGTTCTTTAGAGCTTGTTCGACAAGTTGAGCCAAGCTAATGTTTGAATGAAGTTGGGACAAATTGACGTTTGATTCAAGTTGTGATAAACCAATATTTGGGCGTGGTGGCCTGGAATCTGATTCTGTCTTCAGTGTTTCTTCCGCCTCTTTTGATTGTTCTGTCTGTTTGGCTTGTGTGACTTGTTTTATTTGTTGAATTTGACGCTTGCAGAAATTCAAAATATCAGTCGCGAAGGCCCTCGGATCTTTGCATTTGAGCCAGGGGCGCGTAGATACCACACCGCACGCCGAATCCCCACTAAGCAAAAGGATAGGACAGAACAGTAAACAAGTACAAGAGTGGAAAAGCAAGAGAAATGAATATGGATAAAAGAGGGAGACACGGACAGTCGGTGGCCCAGCATGCTACAGGTTCTTCTCCTCGTGATTAGTGCAGATACAGCTACGTCTCCTCAGCAGCACAAGCAGCACGGCACAGTCAACACAAGCACAAGATCAAGCTACAGGAACAAGAGACTACAGCAACAGCAAGCTACACTAGGCCAGGAAAGGCGGTAAATCATCAACTTGTGCTATACAAGGAAGATGTAGCATGCCAGATTTTGCACAAATTTGGATGTTTCCTTTAACATATAGAACGAAAGACAGCGCATGCAGCACTCGTGGTCCTAATTGTTCCATACCCGCTTTTTTCCTTTAAAAGGCGTCTACTCTGCTTACACTGCAAATGCGTTGGGTTGTATCGGCGGGTCGCAGCGTAGCAGTGGCTGGTCAGCGGTAGCGGAGTAAAGGCAAAGCCCAGAGGTAGCCCTGCGTCTGTCGCATATCTTGAGGCGCTGAAATTAGTTGTAGAAACATGCAATAAGCACATGTAAATCGATGAAAAACACTCGAATACACAATGGTACTTCAAAACTTGTAAAACAGTGAATAGAAGCACTTAAGTGGCCAGATATGCAAATTCACATGCCACTGGTTCCAGGAGACTAAGATTTTAGCTTGAATATATGACATGAAGGAAAAAGCCAGTATATACATGCATGTGGAGGTGAATGTGAGCAGAAGCGAACGGGCTGAACTATGCGCGGAAGCTAATACACTCTTTGAGCTTTCACACCCAACGATTCGGCCTGCAGAAGGCTGTTGTCCTAAAGTTCAACTTGCGCCGTATTTTTTGAAGGTTGCAAGCGATAACAT